TTAGCAACTTGGTAGTTACCAGTGCAGAGCAAAGATGAGTGCGATGAGGAGCACAGAGGCCAGATCGGTCAGGATCCACATGACGCTGTACTGCTGAGGAGTCTAGAAGGGAACAAGAGAGGATATGTCCACCACCAAGGACCCTGAGATATGCCAAAAAGTTGCTCAAGCCCTTTCTTGCTGCTTGAACATAGCCATTCAGCTGCCTGGTTTGCACATGCAGTAACATCTCTCAGGTGTTTAAAGCATTTGGTGACATTTCAAAGTGGCCACTCCCCAGTGGGTGTTGGCACCAAATCACCATCCTTTATAAAACCAGGTCTGTTGTGTGGCCAAGAAGATTGTACCACATCACAATGGACATAACAGGGACCTCTTTTTCGTACGGGCAGGCCCTGCAGCTTTCTTTGCTTCCCCCCAGCATTAACATCAACTGGTTGTATCTCATTTTCTCCGGCAAAATTATCCTTTAGGGAATGCAAAAGAGGGTTTGGGATGGCTCCTGCTTTAAGTCTAAGAGTATCTGAAGATTCAGGCTTAGACTGGACCTCCACTCACACTCAGAGTGGGCTGAAACACTACAGTTGTCTTGATGGGAGCATCATAAAATCTACTTCAAGAGTGTGGAGCGAGTTATTCGTAGTAGCAGCCTTTAGGCTGCAGAGACTCTGGTGGGACCAGTGTCCCAGGTGCTCCTTAACCCTATAGGTTGTCCGAGGCAGGACAGAGAACAGACAAATCAGGTGAAAAAAATTCCTCCCAGCAAGGAAGGGTTATTGCTATGGTTGATTCCCTGGGGTTTGTGGAGCAAGACCAAGTTGGAGAAGGGCAGTGGGAAGCCCTGGGAAATGAGAGACTTCTGACATCAACGAGGTGCTTCAAAAGCTTAGAAAGGGAAATCCTTGTCCGTCAGCTTGTGTCCCCTCTCCTTTCTCTTCACACAAGTCTCAATAAGGCTTCTTTTCCCTCATCTCAATGCCTAAGTTGCAAATCCTAACAAGGAAAGTGCTTTCACCTGAGCCAAAAGAAAAGGGTACGGTGGTACCTGGAGTGGCTCAGAGATCCCAGGTAAGCCAGGTTTCAGCTTAGGTCCTTTTCATGCAAAAGGTCTTTTATCCCCATGTGAACTGGCCCATGGTCTCCAAAGGTACCCATGAACATCCCAACCCTAATTCCTGTCGCTGAGAACAGAATGATTTTCACTTACCATGATTTTTTTTCTGGCTGAGATTCTTCAGCGTCTGGACGGCGTTGGTGGTCACGGAGTGTGCCCCAGAGCACCATGCCAAGGAGAAAAGCCACGGCTCACTGACCACGTAGAGGTTGGTGGTGATGTTTGCCTCAGCGTATTTCCTTTATAAGGACAAAAAGCAACAGCCTTCGTTAAGCAAGGAGGTTAGTACTTCTTTTGGGGTGAATCAAGGAGAGAGAGCAACTTTTGGCAGGAAAGGCTTGATTTAGGACCTAGATAAGCCATTGAAACAGTGTGAAGTAATGTCATACTCTGTATAATGGTGAAGGGATGTTCCATCAATATCAGCATTTTTAAATCTACCTAGTATCTTCCCAGGGTTTACCCAAATGGATCTACCCAGGTTTTTTACTTCTAAAGAAAATTATAACTGAGAAAACATTGCTCTCATGCAAAGGAATAAACGTTTTTCTTCTCTTCTTTTGTTTAGGATTAGATTTCAATGTTTCTACTCATTGGAAAGAGCAAAAAATCCTATTTACAGAAGGAGACATGGACAGGCAAGACTGTCTTTTCTCTTTTCTTTTCTTTTCTTTTCTTCTCTTTTCTTTTCTTCTCTTTTCTTTTCTTTTCTTTTCTTTTTGTATTAGAGAGCCATTTTGGAAACTTCTGCAGCAACTGCAGAACCTTCCATTGGAGAGATGACATTTCCAGTGTATCACAAGTAGAGCACTGGTAGCAACAAAGACCAGAAATTAAGTCTCCAGAACCGCAGCTACAAGAGAGTGATGGTCTCTCACCATGGTAAATAGTAATAATAGTAATTACAGACAATAATAATAATAATGATGTAATAGTAATAATGTTGTTTGTAGAAGACTCACGGAAGATTAAATAACTGTTAATTCTCCAAGATGCAGTGTAGGTGGGCCTGGGGATGGCATGAATAGAAAGACAAGAAATTCAGGAAACAGCTGTGTGGTTCCACCCAGAAGATCTTTAGATCCTGATCAAGTAAATATGGACCTGAAGGCAAGGGGTGGTGTCACCTCTTGGCCCAACACGAGGTCAACAATGGGAGTGAACTGCAGCCCCTCACTCCAAAAATGCAGCAGGGTTTGGCCATTTGATCTAAAAGGAGCTCTTCCCAAAATGCTGCAGATCCTGGAGCTGGTCACTGGAGGGAGATATTGTCACACGCATGAGGCAAACATGGTCTAGACGCAACCACTTGGGGCTCCAACTTCGACCTACCGGATATCTTCACTGGACATTTCAGTGTAGGGCAGGTTGAGTTTGACAATATTGTCCATCAATAGGTCTTCAACTGGGGCCTTGCTGCCCATGGTCTGCTGAAAGGCAGGAGCAACAGATTGAACAACGGACCTCATGTCGTTCTCCAGCCATAGGACCTGCGGGCAACAAGAGGAGCCTGTGAATTCACAGCAGACACACTAGTGTGCCCTGCCCTTCACACAAACCCAGTGGAGATAACAGCTGGAGGGGCCGTCAAATAAAATGTCTCTTTCAATGATCAAAGGACGTTTCCACACAGGGTTAAAACTGGCGAGTCGCATTAATCTAGAAGCATTCACTGCTCCTTGCTTATCGACTGGAAATCAGTGAGTACGTTTCACACAGCCCGACAAAAGATCCTGTGTTTGGAATGCATGAAAAGACAGCTTTGGGTCATGGGAAAGGCAACAGAAAATACTCGGTTCTCCCAGTGTGAGAGATCTTCAGCCGATACAGCTCAGAGCCCCAGATGTCAGTGGGCACACAACCTGATCCCCACGAGCTTGGCATTCATCCATTCCCGGGGGAAGGAGGAAAGCGATGAAGACTCCCAGCACCATGTACTTTAATTTAAATCAGGAGTTTCTATGCAACATATAAGATAAGCATGGGTGGCAGGGAGTAGGCTGCCAATCATTACAGTGATGAAAAGATGCCATCGAGGGGCTAAGGCATCGGCCAGTGTATATGCTGGCTTATGTCCTTGTGCTGCTATAGGGTTACACCATTTTGTAGCTGCTGAGGAACCAAAAGCAGGAATATAATCCAAGTGATGCCTCTTAAAACAAGTACAATGAGATGTATGTCCTGCAGGTGAAATCACGGAATCTAGAATAGAATCATTTAAGGTTGAAGAAGACTTTTAAGATTGTCAAGTCCAACCAGCACTGCCAGGGCCACCACTAACCCATGTATCAAAGTACCACATCTACAGGTCTTTTAAATCCCTCTAGGGGTGGTGGCTTCACCACTGCCCTGGGCAGCCTCTTCCAAGGCTTTACAACCCTTCTGATTGAAGAAATTTTTCCAATCTAAACCTAAATTGTGCAGGCTAAGTCCCAATTCAGAGAGCAAGAAAAAGAGACGTGGAGGAGTGAGGCCGCCCTACCAGGTGGGGTCTAATCCCCGACTCGTTGAGGATGACTTCCAGGGTTCGGTTGATCCATGAGTTCCTGTAAGGATGGTTCTCTGGAGGGCGGTAGAGATCAAATATCACAAGTTTATTCTGACTGTCTGCGAGGCGCAAGAAATTACTTAGCTTGTAAACTGACTGATTCATTGCCTGGTTTTGATCTGCCCTTGACAGTGAGCCCATGCATGAAAATGGCTTGTCCTGGAAATAAACAGATATGAAGGAAAAAAAAAAAAAGAAATCAATCAGGCAGTTGCCTCTGGGAGTCAGCTGCGTGCAAAAGACTCATCTCTCTAAGAGGGAAAAAGTTTGACGTCGGTCTCTAGCAAGTGAGAATATTTTGTGGTGCTTAGCTCTTCTACCTGTGAAAGGGAAAATTAACATGATGACGCTGCTTCTGGGACCTAAACTGCCGAGTTCACAGCCAGCTCTGCTGAACTTCTGTGTCCCACCCTTTAGCTGTGACCGTTACGCACAAGTAGCTCTTGTCTTCTCTTCCCCAGCCCCTGTGTTCTGCTGCTGCCCTGATAAGGAGCCACAAGAACAATCGTTACAGGTCTCCTAAGCCTAAAGACCAACTGCACAAAGCAAAGAGATCCCAGCTGAAGGATTTCCACTGACTTCTTTGACTTCTGGCTCAACCAGTAGCTCCTCTCCTGACATTCATGCTATTAAGCAGTAGCCAGCTCATGTCTCATCTACATCCCGTCAGTGACAGTCCTTTATGGCACTTACCTTAAGGAACCACGTTCCAGCATTCAACTCCTGCAGGGTATCCCAGGAGAATAACGCGGCGTTTTGGGCAGTGTCATTGGGATAGACCTCCTTGATGTTCGTTGTCCTCCTCAAGGTGCTGTCATGCATGAGGAAAGGAACGCCGTCATAGCTGTTGGAGAGCAAGAGTTCAGGTCACCTGGGTCATGAGTTCACTCATGGCCTGAGCAGACACATGGCGGGTCAGAAGATGTGGGCCACCACAAATGCAGCAGTAGGACCTCCGTTGGTGCAGAGGGAGGAAGGCTGACGCTCAGGACACCAGGTTATTTCCAGCTTAAACACTGCTGGGAGACCTCAGAGAAGCCATGCCTGTCTGTGCCTCAGTTTCCTCATTGGCAAAGTGGAGATACACCTGCTGGCCTCCTATAAAATGGTTAGTAACTTATGGCTGAAACCTCCTTCTGATGAAACCCGCTTCTGCAGGTGTCAGATGAGTGAAGTCTAAATGAACAATGGTGGAAAAGTAAAATTTTCTCTCACATAAAGAACATGTAAGCATTAGTGTTTTTTCTTATTCAGTGTCTGGAGACATTCAAAGCCCGCCTGGACATGTCCTGTGTGACCTGCCCTGGGTGACCCTGCTCTAGCAGACGGTGACACTGGGTGACCTCCAGAGGTCCTTTCCAACTCTCAACATTCCGTGATTCTGTGAAACTGCTCGCCCTGCGCGGTATGTTTGCAGTTCATGGCAATGGGTCCTCCAAACAAAGGCAATTTTAGACGTAATAATTAGGACAATGCTGTTTTAAGTCCAAACACAATTTTCTGCGGGTTTGTAGGTCTCATACAACCCTCACAGTGGTCTGGAAGTTGGACTAGGGTAGAGACTTGTCTTTATACTCTGCAAATGTTTAAAATACACTGTAGAAACATTGATTGTTAAGTCAATAGTTACAGCTTATTGACTGGCCTGAGAACAGCCATGCCCTACAGCCACTACCATCATACGTCAGCTCAGGGACCCTGTCCCAGCCGTCAGTAAAGCCTAATTGCCTGGAGCTGCACATCTCCAAAAGCAACTCTTAGAGGAAGACATGTATCTTCTGTGAGCTGTGACGTTTTCCCCCTTACCTAATGGTCACATCTGTTTCAAGACCATCTCCACCATGCTCAATTGTCTTCTGAAATGACATCTCAGTGTTTTCCGGTGCCAGCTGAAAAAAAAATAAAACAATATATGAGCAGATCATTTTCAAACACACTCTGGAGGACTCTCTAAGTACTTTCCATCTCTTTGTAGCATCTCTGGCTTTTATTAAGGCAACACCATCATCTTGGTAAAGTCTACTTTTCGTTTTCTTCCACTTCAGCCACCAAACCCATCTTGTCCCTCAGGAACAGTGTTATCCCTGTGATGCCTTTGCACCCAATTCCAAATGCCTCCCATTCCACCCTCCACAGATTCCATGGGGGGGAAAAAAACCAACAGAAGATGATGATGGAGCTGGCAAGGCACAGGATGAAGAAGTGAGATAAAATAACTTCTCCCGACCTACCATTGGTGCTCCGCGGTGTCCGATGAGGGCTGGCTTTGGTCCAAGTGTCCCCATCTCTCTGATGCAAGGAGAGTACATCCCCAGAGGTATCAAGAAAAGAAAGAGAAGGATAGCCAGGTATGGACCAACAATTATCCCCTGAACAACTGAAAGAAGTTGAAGGAGGAAGGATAGAGTTAATCCATGCAGTAAAGTACAAGTTTCCCTTGCGGCTTGAATTTTGCTATAGCTCTCCAGCTAAGTAGCTGCTGGGCTTTGTCCCATTCCCTTTTCCATCCCTTCCTCCCCCGATTTTCATTTTCTTTCCAAACAATATGACCCAGGAGAATAAAGTGGTCATAGCAAGGATGTGGGTATGTCAGGACTGTAGTTTTTGTGTTTTAATTACATCTCACTGTGCCTTACAGCAAGACACGGCCTTAATTTCTTTAAGGGTGAAGCAGTGAAATATCACCCATCTGCAGAAAAACAATCTTCAACAGAAGGACCCTATTTTCTTTTTTTTCTTTCTCAGATAAGAACAAGCAATATTTTGAAGTTTCCTTCATGGTGAAGAGGAGGAACAACCTTCCTCCTTCAACTATGTTACATCCCCTTAAGGTGAATACTTCTCTGGTTCATTCAGATTGCTGTCAGTGACTTTCTGTGTGTGACCTACAGAATCCTATAGGCTCTAACTGGACAGGTATTGCATCTCAGAAACTTGCCAGCTCATTACCTACGGTCTTCTCTGGAGGCTGTTGACACCTCGCCCAAGAGACCTCATGAACCTTCACCTCAGGGAACAAAACAGCACCTATGCACCAACATCTCTTCCTTGAATTGGGTACCATCACCCCTCTGCACATGGGTCTGAAGGAACTTGGGTTTACACCAAGCTGATGGGTTGAGCTGAGAGTCCATTAGGCATGGAGGACCATAATGTCTAAGGTCTCCAACCTCCCCAGCTGTAGTTCAACAAGAAAGATCCTGGGCAGGAAAAAAAATGGTTTCACCAGCCCATTCTTTCTATGTTTTTTTTATTACATCTGCGGATGAGTGTCATGTAGATAATTTTGGCTACATGGAGAGACTAGGTCATAGAAGAACAGCCAGTCCCAGGCTGCTCTTCCGCAGTTGTTCCTGACATCTGGCTTTGTCCTTGCACTCCTTGGTCACAATTCTTGAGAGGTGGACTATTCTCACTGAGATAACAATAGGAATTGATGAAAGAACTCTTTCCTCTATCTCAGCCAGCTTCTCCTGAGATGCACTAGTCAGAAGTGGATTGACTGGGCTGGAGGTCCCTTCTGAGATGGCCAAACTGAGTGTAGCAAGCAAAGCTCAGCCAAGAGAGCTGCCAAGCTGCCACTGACTGCTTTCTCCCACAGAAGGGTGAACATATTTGCATATGCATTTACCTATTTTGATTTGCATTTGCATATTTGCATGACTCAGAACATGGGCTCTTCTGCTAAACTACTGCATCCCACCGCAGGTCACTGCCTTTGGTTTAGGCCAAAACTGTGCAAGGAGGGGCATGCAAACCAGTAAGACACCTGGACAGCCACAGGACAGTGCACAGCCCAAGCCCCAGTCCCAGTGACTTCCCTGGGATACACAGGAGTTAAAAGTCTCCTTCAGCTGGAATGCAGGTGTGTGAAGAAAAAGGTCCTACATGCCTGCTTTCCCAACACTGATACATGTCTTTTATCAAATAGGGAGCAGGGAGCAAAGCTGCTGTACCTTTCTTATCTGCTCTGATGGCATGGAGAGCCACGGGCCAGGAGAGGAGGACCATGAGGGTTATTGCTCCAATGTGGAGATAGGGAGCTGTGATCTGGCGAGGAGAGAAAAGGATGTTAGGCAAAGGATGAAATGTAGAGACAGGTGGAAACAAGCCCCAACACGGCTACAGCCTTCCAGCTGGATGACCTCCTGCTGCAGATACCAATGTTCAACCTCCCTGCAATACCTGTGTGAGATCCACCAAACTCCCCCAGAGTTAGAACCACAGAATCATGAGATTTTTAGGTTGGAAAGACCTTTAAGATCATCAAGTCCAAACGTTAACTCAGCAATGCCAGGCCCACCACTAACCTATGTCCCTGAGAGCCACATCTACACAGCTTTTAAATCCCTCTGGGGATGGGGACTCCACTACTTCCTTTAGGTGCTTGACAACTCTTTCAGTGAAGAAATTTTTCCTAATATCCAACCTAAACCTCACTTGGCGCAGCTTGAGGCCTTGTCTTCTTGTCCTATGACTTATTCAAGCCTAGGCCATTCTACGATTCTATGATTACTGGAATTAGTGGAGCGATTTGTGCCCTCAGCCAGGCCAGCTGCCCAGGCTGCGAAGTCACCCATTCTACGATTCTATGATTACTGGAATTAGAGGAGCGATTTGTGCCCTCAGTCAGGCCAGCTGCCCAGGCTGTGAAGTCATAGAATCATAGAATTATTCCGATTGGAAAAGACCCTTGGGATCATCAAGTCCAACCTATAACCCTACTCTACAGAGTCCACACCTAAACCATCTCCAACACCATGTCTAAAACGACCTTTAAACACCTCCAGGGATGGGGACTTAACCCCCTCCCTGGGCAATCTATGCCTACTACTCTTGCTGTGAAAATTTTTTTCCTAACATCCAGCCTAAATCTACTCCGTTGCAGCTTGTGGCCATTCCCTCTAGTTCTATCACTCGTTACCCGTGAGAAGAGACCAGCACCAACCTCTCCACAACGTCCTGTCAGGCAGTTGCAGAGAGTGAGGAGGGCTCCCCTCAGCTTCCTCTTCTTCAAACTCAACAGCCCCAGCTCCTTCAGTTGCTCTTCCTAAGGTTTATTTTCTAGGCCCTTCACCAGCTTTGTTGCCCTCCTCCTCACTACACTACACTGCTCTCCTTTCTCCTAAGTCAGCTGAAGGAAACGAGGCTTTCCTGCTGCGTTAAAAGGAAAGGCAGCATTTTCTGTTGTGGAAAAGAGGCAACAATTTCTGTTGCAAAAAGGAGGCTCCAATTTCTGCGGCGTTAAAAGAATGTTTTGGTGCACGCTGTCTTGGAAACTTTCTCGGTGTTCTGATGTGTGAACAATGCTACGTAGGCAATTAAGTAATTTTAAATGATTATCCCACATCAAATGCCGTGAGAAAGGTTAGTTTTTAGCCAAGATGGTTGCCTTGCAGTTAGAACTAAAGTTTATGCAAAGGTGCCTTTATCCCACATGTCCTCGTCCATGGATCCAATCTAACCCAATCCAATCCCACCCAGGTACTAGCTGTCTCCATACTATACTGCAGCTACACCATTAAATTGATATCAACAAACCTGAGTGATAAAAAGTGGTATTTACAACTATATTGAACTATTATGGTGTAAGAGAAGTAGTTAAACTGGTACGTGTCTGATCATGGACTTTGTTAGACTGAAATGCAACCTGCAGTACCTGGTTTCACATATTATCAATCTATTCCAGAACAATAATCCATTTTCCTTTGTTTCGAAGTATTTAATTCACTTGCATCAGGACTAATCGCATTTTTTCTCTTCTTTTTTCTTCTCTTTTAACTCAATGTGTAGACATGTTTCTTGATTTACTAACACAAAACAATATATTCATTTAATGCTTGTGATATGTTGAATAATACCTATTGCTGGAGAGATACAGTAATTTGATTTGATTTCCTGCAGCCTAATGATCAAACAAGAACATCAGAAGATAAGAATCACTTCTCTGCTTATCACAAATGCACGAGCAGAGGTGGAAACCGAGCTGAAATAGTTTGTTGCTTGCACGGACACTGAATGGGTGCTAGTATGATACTCTTTCCATAAAACTAGGCAAATCTGTCAAAGATTGTTCATCATTTTCTGAAGCTCAGCAGAGCCCCATGGTTTCTGTTCCACCTAGAACTGAGAGTTATTAAGGTGTGTTTTAGGAAGAAAAACCTATCCAGATGCAAGCCTTTCCTATTCCTTAATCCATGCCTCATTCTCCGAACTGGAAGGGCTGAAGGAAGCAGCAGTCACTAAGAGATGTTATTGCATCTGAGACCGTCTGCCCCGGACACTCGATACCAACATCTTTCGATCAGAAGCAGGGTTCAGTTGCTGAGGTGCCATCTGAGATGTCCAGGATATTTGAGACAGCTTAGCGGGGCTATGGACATGACGCAGGATCTGCAAGAGATTCGTGTCCTTTGCGAAAAGCAGTGGGAGGCTGCGTGAAGCATCTCAAAGGGCATGAACACCCAAAATAAACAGCATCTGCGGGGAACTCAAAGGCTCTTGTGTCTCCTTCCCCTCATCCACCTTCCCTGAAGTCTGTACCAGGGAGGAGAAGCTGATGGCTTCTCATTATCCGTGTTGACACCCTACAAACACCGTATCTGTGATTCGTCTTCAAGTCCATATGCATTACACTCCCAGGACATGTAGGGGAGAGGTGGTAGGCCCACAGAACATAGAATCATAGAACAATTCAGGTTG